GTCTGTCTCACCTGCCCCAGCTCTCCCGAATGTTCCAGAAGGAGGGGTACCTCCTCCACTCTTGCCGACTGTCCCTCGGCCACCTCTTGCTGTCGGGTGCAGAGGCAGCCTCCTCTTTGCCTCTCCCGCTTCTCCCTGTACCTGCAAGCGTCCTTCATTCAGCCCCATCCTCTCCCACCACGGTCGGGGCGAGGCCAGCCCTCCTACACTCACCAAGCCAGCAAGCATTTACTCAGCAGCTCCTGTCCACTGAGAATGAGAGGGGCCCCTCCAAAAGGTAACAGGTATTGAGCACGCACCTTGTGCAAACACTGTTCTACGTGAGTATGAATCATAACAGATGATGAAGAAACCGAGTCAGAGAGAGGTTGGGTAACTTCCCTAAGATCACTCAGCAAAAAGGCAGAGTCAGTGCTCCGGCATTTTATCTTAGATGTCATTAAAATGAACACCGTCCCCAAGAGATGGCCCAGTGGTGACCAGGACAGTGGAGGGGGACTGTCCTTGCTTGGGTCTCAATTCCATATTTATCAGTCACCTACCGTGTGCTGAGCCTGAGGTCGGCATGTCCACCACATTACCTAGTCTGTTCCTGCCGTCGAGCTTGGATCATTGCTCCCATACTGCAGATGAGTAAACCGAGGCCTTGTAAGGGGAGGTGCGCACGCAGCCCAGGGATTCAAACACAGGAAGTGGTTTCAGGTGGGCCGACTCCAGGCACAGCGCTCTTTCCAGTGCCTCACGCCGCCCTTACTCCTCAGCTTTACCTTCTGCCCGCTGATGGGCACCTGCTCTTCCGGCCCCGGCTCCACGCTTCGCACCTTAACACTCGCTCAGCTGCTCTGCCCCCTTACCTGCCTCTAGTCCTTTTGCACTGGCCCTCCTTACTCACTACCTGGTACCTGCCCTTTTAATGCCTTTCTCAGTTGACATTTTTTTTTTTTTTGCGTTACACGGGCCTCTCACTGTTGTGGCCTCTCCCGTTGCGGAGCACAGGCTCCGGACGCGCAGGCTCAGTGGCCATGGCTCACGGGCCCAGCCGCTCCGCGGCATGTGGGATCCTCCCAGACCGGGCCACGAACCCGTGTCCCCTGCATCGGCAGGCGGACTCTCAACCACTGCGCCCCCAGGGAAGCCCTCAGTTGACATCTTTCATGAGGCTTCTGAGTCAATTATTTCTTGAGTGGCTGCTGTGGGCTTGTGTCGTTGGAGCTCTAAAAAGTGTAGGACCTTCCTTAGGAAGCCCTTGGTTCAGGAGACACACCACGCTGGCTGTGTGTCCATGGCCGGGCACACACACTCTCTGAGCTTCAGCTCCTGGTTCTAATCTCTCCCATTTCTTCAAATCTGACCCTGATGTCTCTATGTTGGAGACTAAATCCTAGTAAATAATAATATGTAAACAACATTGCCTGATTATGAGTCCAGCAAGTTAGGAAGGGTCCCTGATTGGACTGGTCAGGGCAGCTCTGCAAGAGGAGATGGGACTTCAGTGGGCATGGATAAGGATTGGGTGGGGAAGAGGTGGGCAAAGCCAGGATTTTCTCATAGGAACTACTTTCCTAAGCCAGACGTCCACCCTCAATTTACCCTGGGCACTTTTAGCCTGCTAAGAAGCAGTGTACCCTGAAAGAGCTCTGGCCAAAGAAATAACTTAAACTTTATTAGCATTTTGTTTTTTTAAAAAAACTTCTTTCTTCATTGTTTCTCTAGCTATTGCACACACTAACCATTCTTGCATCCGAGGGCATGCTAACCCTATTTCTTGGTAAGACTGTACATTCCGTACCAAGATTTCACAGTGAGTCATTGTAGCTCAGGGAGCGACACAGATGATGGGTATTGACTTGCCACTAAGTGTAAGAGCAGAATGCGTGCTTAAATAGGACAGCATCTATATTGCTGGAAAATCTAATAGATCTCCTGTAACTGCTCCCTGAGCTGCAGAGCACTACTCAGATCCCAGGCTCAGCCGTACTTAGCACTGCTACCAGTCCAGTAACCAGTAAACACACTTAGGTTAACTTCCCCGCACAGTGGGCTTTATAAACCTCCAAGACCTCGTCAAAGAGTTTGGTTTGGTTTCCAAAACTGCAGCGTGCCCTTTGGGGAATTTACTTTTAGTTTTCTTTACTACCTGGACTATTCTGAGAGAGCTAAAAATAACAGCATTCCCCAAAGGAATTTGACCACAGCAGCCCTTCCTCATAGAGTAAATTTCAGGATAGTTTCAGGAACGTTGCCCTGCTGTATCCTTTCTGTCCTGTCTTTCTGAAAGCCAGGTCTCACCAAATTTGTTTAAAACTTTGAGATCCTCTAGCCAGACTTGTGAGCTATTTATCTCAAGGAAGCTGTATTAGAAGCTGTGCTTTCAGTCTGCTAATTCTGCACAAGCCAGAACCCTCTGGACTCACCCAGAGTGAAACATGCCATGATGTGTGTTGCTTCTCTCCTGCCCTCTCCCGTCCCCAGTCCTCTTTGGAACTGATGAGAGAAAGGATAGAAGGGGAATGGCGGTCCATAATGCCCACAGGAGAGCTCACGGAGACTTTTTTTTAAACACCCCTTCCCAGATTTTGTTGTTCATCAGACTCTGCCCTACCAGTCGGTTTCAGTGGATACGTTCAACTCCAAGAATGATGTGTACGTGGCCATCGCTCAGCCCAGCATGGAGAACTGCATGGTGCTGGAGTGGGACCACATCGAAATGAATTTCCGGAGCTATGACAATATTACAGGTGTGTTATGGCTTTGACTGGATGTACTGACCTCATTTCAGCGTGTCCTAAAGCCCGGGAGAGAAGAAATATTCTCTGTTATCCCGAGAGGGAGCTTGGCTCTCTGGCCTGGTTTGATTTGGGAACACGTTCCAGCCCACCCTCTTCCCTCCAACTTTTTCTGGACATGGTCAGTTATTGGTGAGAGCAGAAATTGGTGATTCTATTTATTGTTGGTGATCCTTTTGTAAAGGGAGAGGGTGATGGGGGCCTGTGGTGGGAAGCATTTTCCTGAAATGGTGAGAAGTCACTCCCAGAATCCCTTGATTTTGAGCAGTTACGACAGCCTCAGACTGCAGGAGCATTTTAGCAGCTAAATGAATCCTTTGACTTTTGTGAGCTCTTAACTAATATGCTAATGCACACACACACGCACACACACACACGTGCTCACGTACACATATGCACACACACATGAACACACACACACTATAGCTGTTTCTATTGCCCCCTTGCGAAGTTCTGGTGATCACTATTTCCTTTTAATAAGTACATACAAAATAAGCATAAATGGCTTCCTAATTCAAGCCTTTGGGATAAGACTTAGAGCTTCATTTGGGGCCATCATTGAATGCCAGTGTCTTAGCGCTACTAAAAACGGACTGTCTACTTGCTTTTTAAATCAGTGGATAAAGTCAAAATAATCTTTCAAAGACTTCTCATTTATCAAAGTGCAATCTGATAATAATACTGACTTTACAGATAGTACCACGTGGCCTAACTCTTGCCCCATGTGAGGGTTTCCTTCAGTGATTCCTTCTCTGGTTCGAGCAGCATCTTGCTGGGGCAGAGAGAAGCGTATCCAGGTAGCATTTCCAGATACGGAGGTTCTGGCCTTGCAGCAGGTGCAGGGATGCAGGGAGAGCATCATTCACCCTCGGGGAGCAGAGCTGCTAATGAGGCTGATCTGGCAGCCCAGAGAGGTCTATGAGACGCAGATCCTGACGCTCCGACATGCCATCTGGCCTCCCAGTGCTGAGCCCACATTCCTGGGAGCAGCCCCGCTCGCTCCAAGCGCAGACTCAGCACAGAGCAGTGCAGGTGAACCTGTGGAGGGAAGCCCAGGCCTCAGGACCCTAAAGCCGGTTAGAGGAAACGAGGTGAGAGAGGAACTCACCACCCACATGGTTTTTTGCTTCCATCTTTTCTCTGACCTGGAAGGTCGGTGAGGGCTGAATGAGCAGGCCCCTCTGCCTTCTCTCCTCCGTCTCACACGAGGAGGTGGGAGCAGAGTGAAGCCGTGCTCTCGTGCAGGGAGTTCTGAGGCCAGTGCTTGTTGCCGGTGCTGGTTGTGGGCTTGCAGAGAGCCAGGTTCGGGTTAGTCTCGTTGGGGCTCGTAACAGCTGTTTGAGGTGTTATTGCGGGTTCCCTGCCCGTAGGTAGAGGACAAGCGACCTCTCTTCAAGAGAGAGGAGGCATATGAACTATAAAGAGCTCAGGTTTTGAAAACCTATGAACATGGATTCTACTCCTGACTCTGCCATGTGCTAGGAAGTAGCTGGGGCCTTTGAGCCTCTGTTTTCTCATCAGTGAAATGGGCAGGAGATGTACCTCCCATGGATGTTGTGAGAATTGGATGAGTGCCAGGCACAGAGAAGGCAGTTTTTTTTTTTTAAGTGTTTCCTCTTTCTCTTTTTTTTTTTATTAAAAAAAATTTATTTATTTTAGGCTGCGTTCAGTCTTCATTGCTGCGTGTGGGCTTTCTCTAGTTGTGGAGAGCTGGGGCTACTCTTCGTTGCTGTGCGTGGGCTTCTCATTGCGGTGGCTTCTCTTGCTGCGGAGCACGGGCTCTAGAGCACAGGCTCAGTAGTTGTGGCACATAGGTTTAATTGCTCTGTGGCATGTGGGATCTTCCCAGACCAGGGCTCGAACCCGTGTCCCCTGCATTGGCAAGCAGATTCTTAACCACTGCACCACCAGGGAAGTCCCAAGCAGGCAGTTCTTAATGCTGGCTTCCTCCTTACCTTTCCGAAAGAAGAGATGTAGGCTCAGGCATGTTGAATCACTCCGCTGTTACTTCCAAGGCAGAGCCCGGGACCTGTCACTGCTGCATCCCACCCTTTCCTTCTCTCAGGTTGACCTTGGTAAGAGGGGACAGCGTTGCCCTCCACCTGCCCTTCCTACATACAGCAGCTGATCACACCCCTAGGTTCATCAAGTCATTCATTCATTTTTTCACTTGTTCCCAAAGATTTCTTGAGCGCTTACTCTGAGCCAAGCCCAGTCTAGGTGCTGGGGCCATAGCAGTGAACAAGTCCCAAGAAAACCTCCACCCTCAAGGAGTCTGTGTTATAATGGGAGAGAGAGGGACAATAAAATAAGACAAATAATTGTAATACGTACAATGCATTAGATGGCAGCATGCTAAGAAGTGAAAGGGTGGCAGGGAGGAAAGATTTGAAGTGTTGGCATGAGAGGACTGAAATTTTAGATAGAGTGTCTGCTAGAGGCCTCATTAAGAAGGTGTTTGAACAGAACTTGTGGGACACGAGGGCTTGATGCACATGGAGAGTGGGAACGGTGGGGAGAACATTCCAGACAGGGAAGAGTGAGTGCAGCAGTCCAGAGGCAGGAGGGTATCTTTCCTGTTGGATGAACAGGCAGGTGGCTGGCTTGGCTTGGACAGAATGATCCAGGGGCAGTTGTAGGAGACAAAGTCAGAGAGGTAAGAGGGCTGATCACGGGGGCCTTGCAGGTCCTATGAAGGACTTGGGCTTTTACCTTTGTTCAGAGGTCAGCCAGGCTGCATAGAAGATGCAGGTGCCTGCTACAGAATGCTGGGTTGTGTCCAGCTGCTGGGTTGAGAGTAGTCCGTGTGTGGGGAGGGGACCAAAGTGGAATCAGAGCAAGTAGTTGAGAGGCTATTGCAAGGATTCAGGCAAGTGCTAATGGCCTGGACCCAGCGGAGGCCGCAGAGCTGCGGGTAGGATGTGGTCAGTGAGAGCAGAGTGGGTGTGGCCAGAGCCAGGGCTGGAGCTTACTGGTTTCCAGGGATTCCTTGGCCTCTGAGTGTTGAAGTCTGAATCTTCTGAGAGGTGGGCAGCCGGACACGCAGCCCCCTGGGGTCCTCTTCACAGCCAAGCCCAAAACTGAGCTACAAAACTGTGTTCGTTAAGTTTATGAACTCCAGCGTCACACTGGTTTTTCATAAATCTCTCTCTAGATCTTTCTGGCTGGTGACCCTGGCCAGGTTTTAATTTCCATGAGCCCCTTTCATCTGTGAAGTGGGAATTCCATCTGTAAAATGGTATCATCATAGTACTGGGCCCATGGGAATTTAGCTGGGTAGTTTCTGTAACACTTAGCATGGCGCCTGGCGTGTAGTAAGTTCTCAGCAAGTGTTGGGATATCAGCTGCGGAGAAGAAATATATATTTGATTATTATTCCTTGCTACCACCGCTAGAGAAATCCACCAGGTTTGGATCTTTTACTCTTCTTAATTCATGAAAGCACACAGATTTCACACATCAGGGTCCCAGCACACATTTCCCAATACATATTGCCAATTTCCTGTCACAGTGATTTCTGATCACATCTTACAATTCAACCACCTCTCTTTTGTTTCTCCCTTCACCTGGGTTTCCAGGCTCAAATGCAGCCTCCTACAGGAAGCATTTCTTTTCTTTTTTTTTTTTTTTTTGCAATACGCGGGCCTCTCACTGTTGTGGCCTCTCCCGTCGTGGAGCACAGGCTCCGGACGCGCAGGCTCAGCGGCCATGGCTCACGGGCCCAGCCTCTCCGCGGCATGTGGGATCTTCCCGCACCGGGGCACGAACCCGCGTCCCCTGCATCGGCAGGCAGACTCTCAACCACTGCGCCACCAGGGAAGCCCAGGAAGCATTTCTTGATGACTGGATTGGAATGAAGTCTGCCTTCTGTGCTCCCTTATTACATGAATTTCCATTAAACACAAATCTCGTCACGTAATTTTTCACTTAGAGGAAGGCAACTCACATTTACATACTCAGTTATTTATAAGCTGTTTCTTTCGTCAGCTACACAACCTCATAATGTGTACTTATTGTCTCTATTTTATAGTGGAAAAAAAAATAGGAGCAGCCTTCCTTCTCCCATAGACCCTAACTCTTTGACTTCAATAAAATTGTCTCCACAACTTTCAAAAGCATAGGAGTGCCAGGACCAGCAGAGCATGGCCTGAGGGAGGCTGGGAAAGAGGGTGGTTACAGAAGTAGGGGCCTTGCTCACTCTGTGGAGGAAAGAGGGTTGCTTGCTGGAATTCAACCTGGTGTGAAGGAAAGCCCTGCAGCTCACACGAGCTGGGCAGATGACAAATGGATGAGCAAGGGCACAGCCCCAGAACCACTTGCCTCGAACAAGACCAAGGTAAACGTGGACCGTTCTCTCCTCATGGGGCTGTGCATGCCTCATTTATCATCTCGTTTGATCACAGGGTGATCCCAGAGTCAGCAAGACCTGGGCAGGATTTTCCATCCATGGCCGGCAAGTCTGGGGCTCCGAGGAATGGGAGGGACACATGCTTCCCCCTCTGTGGCCTTGCTGGGCATTGTGCGAAAGGGACATCCATCCTCTGGTGAGAGAGGGAGACCCAGGGTCATGAGCTGCCCCCCGCCGCCAAGTTTTGCTCCTTACGTCGTCGTCTTCTCTCTACATCTCATGTTTTTGGTTAATTTTGTTTGCCTTTTGATTTCTGCCCACTAAGTATGTTGCAGCATCTCTCCCCCTAGATTAAAACACATATTCACACACACACACACACACACACACACACACACACACACACAAATACGCGGGCCTCTCACTGTTGTGGCCTCTCCCGTCGTGGAGCACAGGCTCCGGACGCGCAGGCTCAGCGGCCATGGCTCACGGGCCCAGCCTCTCCGCGGCATGTGGGATCTTCCCGCACCGGGGCACGAACCCGCGTCCCCTGCATCGGCAGGCAGACTCTCAACCACTGCGCCACCAGGGAAGCCCAGGAAGCATTTCTTGATGACTGGATTGGAATGAAGTCTGCCTTCTGTGCTCCCTTATTACATGAATTTCCATTAAACACAAATCTCGTCACGTAATTTTTCACTTAGAGGAAGGCAACTCACATTTACATACTCAGTTATTTATAAGCTGTTTCTTTCGTCAGCTACACAACCTCATAATGTGTACTTATTGTCTCTATTTTATAGTGGAAAAAAAAATAGGAGCAGCCTTCCTTCTCCCATAGACCCTAACTCTTTGACTTCAATAAAATTGTCTCCACAACTTTCAAAAGCATAGGAGTGCCAGGACCAGCAGAGCATGGCCTGAGGGAGGCTGGGAAAGAGGGTGGTTACAGAAGTAGGGGCCTTGCTCACTCTGTGGAGGAAAGAGGGTTGCTTGCTGGAATTCAACCTGGTGTGAAGGAAAGCCCTGCAGCTCACACGAGCTGGGCAGATGACAAATGGATGAGCAAGGGCACAGCCCCAGAACCACTTGCCTCGAACAAGACCAAGGTAAACGTGGACCGTTCTCTCCTCATGGGGCTGTGCATGCCTCATTTATCATCTCGTTTGATCACAGGGTGATCCCAGAGTCAGCAAGACCTGGGCAGGATTTTCCATCCATGGCCGGCAAGTCTGGGGCTCCGAGGAATGGGAGGGACACATGCTTCCCCCTCTGTGGCCTTGCTGGGCATTGTGCGAAAGGGACATCCATCCTCTGGTGAGAGAGGGAGACCCAGGGTCATGAGCTGCCCCCCGCCGCCAAGTTTTGCTCCTTACGTCGTCGTCTTCTCTCTACATCTCATGTTTTTGGTTAATTTTGTTTGCCTTTTGATTTCTGCCCACTAAGTATGTTGCAGCATCTCTCCCCCTAGATTAAAACACATATTCACACACACACACACACACACACACACACACACACACACACACACGAGGCTTTCTGCTGCTGCTGACAACTCCATAAGCTACAACTCCACAGGCTACACCTGGAAAGAGGATGCTTTATGGAGCATCTCCAAGAAAGGAATTCTTTCTTTCTCACACGGCCCCTTGGCTGAGACCAGTATAGCTGCAGGATGCTTCTGGGTAGAAGGGACCTCCGTAGCCAGGGACTCAGGAGGAGCATGCACCTCAGTTAGTGCTGTCAGGGGGGGAGTCAGTGCAGTTTCTGAGGAGCAGTTTGGTAGTTTAAACCCAGAAGCCTTAACAATGTGCACAATGTCTACCCCGCAATCTCTCCATTTAAGAACACTGCCAGATGGTTTTCAAACACAGATTTCTCTACAGGGAAGCCTATTACTTACAATAATGAAAAACTGGAAATAAGTGCAATGTCCAGCAGTAGGGGATTAAACAAAATATGGTGCCTCCATGCAATGGAATACCATGTAGTGTTAAAAAATCAAGTTGTAGCAGATGCAATAACATGGGAAAATGTTCACAACATAGTGGTCAAGGGAAAAAAGCAGGTTATAAAAAATCCATGTACACTATATAAGCCCAGATCTACTTTTAAAAGGCACATTTGGATATGTGCAGAGATTGGCAATTAAAGAAATATATCAAGATATTAAGTGTTATTTCAGCATTTGCAGTTCAAGTGATTTTGATTTTCTTCTTTGTACTTTTTGGTACATTGGTGGTGGAGTGTAGACTGGAGCCAGACTACCTGGATTTGGATCCCAGGCTCCATCACATTGTAGCTGTGTGACCTTGTATAAGTTACTTAACTTCTCTGTGCCTTTATAAAACGGGGTACAAAGTTAAGTGTATGCTAAGTATATAATAAGCATGTAAAGTGCTTAGTATAGTGCCTTTATGTGTTACCTATTATTATTTTCAAAATTTGCTTTGATGAACATTAAAAACCTCTATACTCAGAAAAAATGCAGTAATTAGTTTTAAACAAAGGAAAGGGACCAGGTTCTTGCAGGAAAGCCAAAGCAGTGGAAGAGAAAAGTAAATACCACCCTAAAATCCACCCACCGTCTGCCCCCAACGTTAATACTGAGGACAGAAATTGGGTAATTATCCTTGTAATTTACAGACCAAATTCACTTTGGTCCAAACTGCCTAGAAAATTAGGGGAAAGAAATAACTTTTAATTGAATGACCTAGATGACGGGCCAGTACTCTTTGAGATGTGGGTGGTTTTATTGCTGTCTGGCTGGAACGGTGAGGGTGGGGGGTCTGGGTGCAGATAGGGAGAAGGTGATGGGAGGTGACCCAGACAGGGGAGTCACGACTGAAAATGTTCCCCTTTTCCTGCAAAGTTCTGGTTTGGTGCCGCCTGAGCTAGATCATTCAGATCATGGCTCGTGATCTCAATTGCCTCAATGATCCAATAATGAGAGCGACTAGTTATTGATCACTTCCTGTGTGTGCAAGCTCTGTGCTAAAAACCCTGACCGTGAAATTTCTCAGGTAGTCTTTACAGCGGCTGTGTAAGGTCAGGGCTGGCAGCATCCTTAGTCTCATCTGGTAGGGGAGGAGCCTGAGCACAGGGAGTTGAGGGAACTGCCACAGGATCAGAAAGCTTATGAGGTGCTGGGCCGTGTGGTCTAGAATCACAAGGTTTAACACTGGTCTATTCTGCCTCCACTCAGCTTCAGAAATCAGAAGAGGTCAACCGTCCTCAAGAGCTCTCATTACATTTTTCTTTTTCCTGCCTCTAAGTCCTGACTCCTAGCTTTTTACCCCCCAAGAGAAGAAACCCGTTTAAATGCCTCATTCTCCCCTATGGAGTCAGGAATAGCATGCAGACAATTCGCTTGGTGTCTTAGTGAATTTCCTGAATTATACGCCTGCCTCTAAAGATGCCAGAGGCCCAGGTGACCAACACTTACCTATTTCGCTGAAGGTACTTTTAAAACTATTGTTTTAATTGTGGGGAAATATACATAGCATTTACCGTCTTAACTGTGTTTGTGTGTGGTTCAATAAATGCATCAATCCCCAGAGCTCTTCATCTTGAAAAACTGAAACTCGGTACCCATTAAACTGTAATTCCCCATTCTCCCCTCCTCTCAGACCCTGGCAACCACCCTTCTGCTTTCTATCTCTATGAATCTGACACCTCTAGGTACCTCATATGAGTGGAATCATACACTGTTTGTCTTTTTGTGACTGCTTATATCACTTAGCATAATGTCTTCAACATTCATCCATGACACAGCATGTGTCGGAATTTCCTTCCTTTTTAAGGTGTAACAATAATCCATTGTGTGTATAAACCACATTTTGTTTATCCATTCATCCATCAGTGGACACTTGGGTTGTTTCCACCTTTTGGCTATTGTGAATAATGCTGCTATGAACATGGCGTACACATATCTCTTCAAAACCCTGCTTTCAGTTCTTTGGGTACAGACCCAGAAGTGGAATTGCTGGATCATATGGTAATTCTTTGTTAAATTTTCTGATGAATCGCCATACTGTTTTCTACAGTGGCTGAACATGTTATATTTCTCACCAGCAGTTCATAAGGGTTCCAGTTTCACTGTGGCTGGGCATTGTTTTTTTATTTACCTAAAGATTTTATTATTGTTTTGTACCAATTAGATTTACATAAAGATTTATCCTTTTCATTCTCTTGATTAAACGCAAAAATATTCTGATTGTTTAATATATTATTATTCAATACAGTTAATTTACCTAAAGAAACTTTTGTTATATATAGTTTAGATTTACATAAACAAATATTTACTCTGTTCATTGTTCTTTGTTATTTCTTTTTTTTAAGAAAATGAACTATAGTTGATTTACAGTATTGTGTTAGTTTCAGGTGTACAGCAAAGTGATTCTGTTTTATATATATATGTGTGTGTGTGTGTGTGTGTATATATATTTCAGATTATTTTCTATTATAGATTATTACAAGGTATTGGATATAGTTCCCTGTGCCGTGCAGTAGGTCCTTGTTGTTTATCTGTTTTACGTGTAGTAGTGTGTATCTGTTAACCCCATACTCCTGATTTATCCACCCCCTTTCCCCTTTGGTAACCATAAGTTTACTTTCTATCTCTGTGAGTCTGTTTCTGTTTTATAAATAAGTTCACTTGTTTTATTTTTAGACTCCACATATAAGTGGTATCATATAATATTTGTCTTTCTCTGACTCTGGACTAGTGTTTCTCACGGTGGCTGCCCTAACCCCATCTCCCCCCTTCTGGAGCGCAGGTCAGTCCATCGTGGGCTGTAAAGCCATCCTCATCGACGACCAGGTCTTTGTGGTGGTGGCCCAGCTCTTTGGCGGCTCTCACATTTACAGATACGACGAGAGCTGGACCAAGTTTGTCAAATTCCAGGACATAGAAGTCTCTCGCATTTCCAAGCCCAACGACATCGAGCTGTTTCAGATCGAGGACGAGACGTTCTTTGTCATCGCAGACAGCTCCAAAGCTGGTCTGTCGACCGTGTATAAATGGAACAGCAAAGGATTCTACTCGTACCAGTCTCTGCACGAGTGGTTCAGGGACACGGATGCCGAGTTTGTTGAAATAGACGGCAAATCACACCTGATCCTATCCAGCCGCTCCCAGGTCCCCATCATCCTCCAGTGGAATAAAAGCTCTAAGAAGTTTGTCCCCCACAGCGACATCCCCAACATGGAGGATGTGCTGGCTGTGAAGAGCTTCAGGATGCAGAACGCCCTCTACCTTTCCCTCACCCGCTTCATCGGGGACTCTAGGGTCATGAGGTGGAATAGTAAGCAGTTTGTGGAGATCCAGGCTCTCCCATCCCGGGGGGCCATGACCCTGCAGCCGTTTTCTTTTAAAGAGAATCACTACCTGGCCCTGGGGAGTGACTATACGTTCTCCCAGATATACCAGTGGGATAGACAGAAGCAGCTCTTCAAAAAATTTAAGGAGATTTATGTGCAGGCGCCTCGTTCCTTCACAGCCGTCTCCACTGACAGGAGAGATTTCTTTTTTGCATCCAGTTTCAAAGGGAAAACAAAGATTTTTGAACACATAGTTGTTGACTTAAGTTTGTGAAGGTGTGATTGGTGAATTTAAAAGACGCGTAGCTTTAGCTGTCACAAGAGAGGACCAAGGGGGAAAAAAGAAGCCAGGTTCACAGGTCTGAAATTACAAATGCACTGGGGAAATAGAAGTTTTCAAACTTTTAGAACTCATATTTTAATCAGGGATTGCATTTATTGGCTAACTGCATGACATGTCCATTCTCCCACTTAAAAAAACATCTGAAAGCCTGTAATTACTGAGAAAAGAGTACAACGTTAAGTCTTACCATCTAGGGAAATAATGCGCCTTTTTGTTCTTTTTAATGAGGAAGGAGAAAATCGGATAAGATGGGACAGCTCTTATAATGAAATAAAAACAAAAAAAGACCAAACACACTATGGGCCCTTCTCATTCCATTTTAGCAATCTAGTGGGTAAGAACTCTTAAAGCCAAAGTCAGCTGAAAAGATTTGCTGATGATTAGTTTAAAAATCTGATAACACTCAGCAATGCTATTTTGAGCCTTCCCTGTTTCCTGAATCCCCCCCAATAGCAGAGCCTTGACTGTTTCATTGGCTCATATAGATGGATGTTCATCACGGGTGTGTTAACAAAATAACGTTTAGCATTGCTTCCTCTGCTACAGAAAAAATATTCTGCTGACACATGTATTGGTCCATCACAGGCTGTGGACCCAGGAATGAGACAAAGAAGTTTCCCCCTCTTCTTGTGGTTCAGAGATGACCCCCCATGGTGGCCAGAGCAGTTGTGCTTGTTTGATGCTCTCCGTGACTCATCTGCTTCTCTGGACCCATCCTTTGAGTTTGTGGGTAACCAGCAGACAGGCCAAAGACTGAATGGTGCTTTTTATTCTGTCCTTTAGAGCAATAGAACAGGTATTTTCATCTGTTGAGCATTTGGTAGAATTTTTGAAGTAAGGCTTTGCGGAGTCAGAGAGGGCTTTTTTATACAAGTCTTGATGTTCTTTGAAACCTAGAGATGATTCTGTGATGGATGGAATGTCCTATAAATATCAATTAAGTCCATCTTGTTTAATGTATCATTTAAAGCTTGTGTTTCCTTATTTATTTTCATTTTGGATGATCTGTCCATTGGTGAAAGTGGGGTGTTGAAGTCCCCTACTATGAATGTGTTACTGTTGATTTCCCCTTTTATGGCTGTTAGTATTTGCCTTATGTATTGAGGTGCTCCTATGTTGGGTGCATAAATATTTACAATTGTTATATCTTCTTCTTGGATCGATCCCTTGATCATTATGTAGTGTCCTTCTTTGTCTCTTCTAATAGTCTTTATTTTAAAGTCTGTTTTGTCTGATATGAGAATTGCTACTCCAGCTTTCTTTTGGTTTCCATTTGCATGGAATATCTTTTACCATCCCCTCACTTTCAGTCTGTATGTGTCTCGAGGTCTGAAGTGGGTCTCTTGTAGACAGCAAATATATGGGTCTTGTTTTTGTATCCATTCAGACAGTCTGTGTCTTTTGGTGGGAGCATTTAGTCCATCTACGTTTAAGGTAATTATCGATATGTATGTTCCTATTCCCATTTTCTTAATTGTTTTGGGTTCGTTATTGTAGGTCTTTTCCTTCTCTTGTGTTTCTTGCCTAGAGGATGATTCTGTGATGGATGCATGTCTTTGTCCTCTGGGCAACTTAATATTTCAAGTAACGGAATACTAGCCTACCTACCTGCCCATCTGCCTACCCGCCTACTCACATCACAGTCCTGCTTTGTCAACTTGCTTACATTGCTGCTGCCACTCCAGTCCTTCTGAAGGTGCTGTGGCACCAAATTGCAGAACCCCAGGTATTCGTGATGGCAGTGCCCCTTCCTCTCCCAGCACGTTCGCAGAGGAAACCCATGCCCTTACACAGGGTGACGTGCTGGCAGGGGCTCATCCGGTACAGGCTGGGGCTGGGGGGTGGGAAGGGTCTCAGGTTGATCCAGAAGGACCAGATTTGGAGCCAGACATACTGAACCCCTGTCCACACGCAGGGGACAAGATGGCCTCTCTGGTGTGGCCCATTTAGGAAGCTCATGGGGTCTGGTTTCATGGAAGCTTCCAGGTAGATAGTCTGCCTGTTTAGCTGGTTCTCTTCAGAGAATATGAAATGAGTGCTTTCAAGAGTGGCTCTCAAAGAGAAATCCAACAAGTTCTCTTGTGGCTGTGAAAGTAGCACAGTCACCTTGTATTGTATTGTTGGTTTTTTTGGTTTGTTTTGTTTTGTTTATTTATCTTTGGCTGTGTTGGGTCTTTGTTGCTGTGCACGGGCTTTCTCTAGTTGCGGCGAGTGGGGGCTACTCTTCGTTGTGGTGCGCGGGCTTCTCACTGTGGTGGCTTCTCTTGTTGTGGAACACGGGCTCTAGGCGCACGGGCTGCAGTAGTTGTAGCTTGCGGGCTCTGGAGCGCAGGCTCAGTAGTTGTGGTGCACGGGCTTAGTTGCTCCATGGCATGTGGGGTCTTCCCGGACCAGGGCTTGAACCCGTGTCCCCTGCATTGGCAGGCATATTCTTATCCACTGTGCCACGAGGGAAGCCCTGTATCGCTGTTTTTTAATGATTGTTTGCCAAGTCATGAGTAGGTAGATGTTTTGTCACAAATATGGATGTGTTGGTTGTTTCCAGACTTTGAGCAGTGCAGATGGAGGCAATAAACAGCACTTAGAGAACGATGCGGCCATGTCACAGCAGCACTCTTGGGAACATTGTGGGACTGCAGGCTCAGGGCTTCCAGCCAAACTAATTCACCCACACGTAGTAGCGCTGCTGCTCAAAACTTTCCTACTAACCATGGAGCAAAGAAGAAACAAAGTGGTTTGTTTTCATTTTTAAGCACAAATCACTCTTTCGTCCATGTTCTTTTGCCTTCCTGGTTTATTTGAATTGACTAGAAATACCCAGATACTCACATCGGAGGCTGATCTGCCTTTCCTCCGACTGTCAAGACGGGCAAGCTATGCTTTCTGGCACATGGAGCCCCTCAGGCAACAAGCCTGGGTGGAAAAATGCGCACTTGGCAAGGAGTGTAAGAGACATTTAGATCGTCCTAGCACTCGTGCCGGGTTGAAATGTAGAGGAGACAGCAGGAGCATCTTTTCTCAGTGCTGCCTCCACGGAGCAGTGACCATCTTCCCAGCCTTTACCTCTGAGGGCGGACTTAGGGGCCGCCCTCTGCGCTTACCACGCTGGGAACCATGGCCTGGGATCTGGAAAACCAGGGAGCAAAAGGGGCGGGACTGGGAGTGGGGGGAGTTGCTAAGTCCCGATGAGATACTGGAGAGTCAAAGGAAGATCTAAAGCAACTGGGGATGGGGAGGGGTGTGGGGATGAGAGGGTGGGAAACCCACTCGGCTACAATCAGTTTTTCTTTTTTAAAAATTGCAGACGACATCGGAGGCTGCAATGTACAGTCCCTGTGCTAAGGGAGGAGGTATTTGTTATGGCCAACTTACTGAAACAGCATAGATGTTCTTGACGGGAGGCTGTGGAAGCTTTGCTTCATTAATCTTACTGCTCCGTCCCAAGAACCCCAAGAAAGAATTTCTGCAAGAAGCTTTCTTCCAGTAATAATGGAAGACAAACAAACAAAAAAACCCCAAAGAGCAGCAACAGAAACCCAAAGCAGAGAGACATGTGGGCCCATCCCCTGTGGAGCTGGACTCAGGAGAGTCTGCCTTTGCATCTCCATTCTTTCCCATTACCCACATCTTCTCAGTTTGTTTCTTCTTTATAATCTCAGCGTCTAGGCTCCCAGATCGAGTCCCTCCACATGGCCATGTGGGCAAGCCACACAGCCTTAAATTGAGGACTTGTCCCCAAACTCCATGGGGTCAGGAATACATCTCTCACAAACATTCTAAAAACAAGCCTTAGGTGTGAGTATCACTGTGTTCTCAGGCAGTGGATAATAAGACCATCCTGCATTTTGGCAAAACTTTATATTTTTCAATGGACATTTGTGTTCATCTCAGTTGTTCATAAATAGTTCTTCAGTTTTTGAAGGCATATTGGAGGGCAGATATTATTCTAATTTCAGAGAGAAGGAAATAGACACAGAAAACCTTAAGTCAATCGCTCAAGGTTATCCAGTTGTGAGTGGCAGAGCTAGAGCTTTCCCTCTGAACAGCAGGCTTTGTATTTTCTTTCTGTGACACTGCCATGCCCTCCCAGTAAAGACTTTTTATCCCAATTTTGAATATAGCAGCACTTTGAGATAAAATAAAAAATGCAACAAAATGTGCATAGACAGAGGGAAAATCGTGCTGAACAGACACCATTCAATCAACCGGTCCATTTAACAATTAAACAGTACAGAACTGCTATTACAAGCAAGGCCCTCTTAAAAGTCTGCCAGAAGTTACAGATAATTTTCTGTTCTAAGGAGGGTTTTTAGCTAGCATGATAGTTTCTCCCCAACCCCTTCCCCAGCTAGCTATGGGAGGGATGTTAAAGTTGAGACACATCTGGTTCTTGTCACAATGTCCACAAGATAAACAAGAAGAATTCCATGAGGGAAAAACTAAAGCCTCCAATGCACGAGTGATGATGAATTGCTCCCGGGCCGTAATCAGCCTTTGGGGAGTGTGCTGGAAATGGCAGTGTTGCATTTTTCTTCCCCATGGAATGAGAGGCTGTGTATTTTTAGGCAACAAATCAGCGTGGGATGCTGGAGGTTTGGCTGCCAGGAACACTCACGATGGAAATTTCTCCGACCTGGGTATAATGAAAGAGAGATGCAGGTCTGCAGGAGGGGAGTCTGTTTGCATGCCATCTAAAGAAAATGTCCTTAGCCAGCTTCCTGATTCTTCTGCAGAGGTATCAGGTCTTCGCTCGTGGTTTTGGAAGAGAATTCTTTAATTAGGCCGTAGTCAAAGAATCTGTTAAACAGCAGAGTGAAATGCTATAATCTAGAAGTTGATGCAGTGAACAAGGTGGCCCAGCCTTGGGGGATAATGGAATGGGCAGAAAAGCAGGGCAGATGGCTGTGGAGGAAACTCTCTTGGGAAAGTAGAAATAAAGTGGAAGTAAAGAAAAAGTAATAATGGTTTCCTTTGCCTCAGCCGAGTTAGTAGAGTGTGGAAAGACCAGGCAAATTTAACAGCATCCCAATTATTAAGGAAGAGGACCAAGTGTAATGCAATTTAAAATAAGAATTATATTGTAAAGCTACTGAGATCTACACTGAGGCACTCCTATCCTGACATCATTCCATTGCTTGTATCAGAATCTTCCTTTTTTCCAGTAGGAAGCTATGCATTCCCTATCAATCTCTTTGACTATCAGGAATGTATAAGACCTGTGACAAACTGGCCAATATGCCATTTGGTACCATTTCTATGTATTTTAAATGCATAACTTAGGCCAAATAAGAATAGTTTATATGTATATGAAAGCAGATTTTGCATTCTACAATACAATGCAAGCTACCATGGATGAATTTTAAGGCTGAATATATATTTAGCTCTTGTTGGTAAATAGACTTAATGAATGACTTGCCTCTTAATTCAATATATTCTGTAAGCCTGTGAATAAAAAGTAACCTGTGCCTAATATGGCTTTGATTTCTGGTCTGCTTGAATCTGGATAGAGCCACTTGAGTCATGGAGTTGAAGGGCTGCCCACAACGGGCTACTGAGGAAGGGCAGCACGTGCCCATTTCTCTTGGTGGCTTCCTCCCCGTTTACATGGAAGATGGGCACGGCAGGTGCCTCTTGCTTCTACTTGCAAACTAAAAAGTCACTGAAGAACTTTTACAGTTATACCTTGGCCGGATCAGCAGAATCGTAATCTTGACAGATTGACAAAGAACTCTAGGGATCTTTGGGTATTTTCTGATTCTGCTGGTGAGCAGGAGATGAGATTATAAGATCCCATTGGCTGGGTTGAGCCATGATCAACTTCAGGTCAGGACTTCTGATGTGCTCTCTGCATGTCTGAGGTCTAACCTGGTACCCAGTGGTCATGCAGTCAAAGTCGGCCGCC